GACAGCCGATCAAAGATAGACATCTCTGAAACGTCTCTGAAACTCTTTTTAAAAGGAGTTTACACTTCCAGTAATATTTTCTTCCTTCTCGCAACAGCGCAACAGACATTTTAATCCTATGTAGTGTAGGCGTATCAGTTCTATTACGTCTTCATAGTGATGCCATATAAGAAATCGAGTGTCTAAAAAGCCCTCAATTCAATCTAACATTCGAATTGATAAAAGTCAAGATGGTGCAGTTGTCTTGTTCCTTTGCAACTAACTGTAGAACCAAATGTTATTTTTCTCGCGCTGGCCAGGGACGGCAACAGCTCATACCTCTAAATTCGTGGGTATACAGCTTTAAAAAAACATTTGAGAGACGTCGATGTATCCCAAACATGCGTTTCGTCCGAGATGAAGCTTATTCTGGCGCGTATTGGCTTATTTGGAGATTACGATTTCACGATGTACCTCAAATATCGTGCACAACTAGGTGTGAGATTCAGACCTTCGGGTTCGTAAATGCCAGTATCCTCCTCATAAAAATCGGAGACATAAAGTGAGAGAGAGGTGAATCTGCAGATGGCAGAAGAAATCAAAGCTGGTGGCGAGTCTTCCTGGTGGGAAAGTGACTGTAAACCTAAATAGAACGCGTACTATAGCTGCTATCTTAGAGTCGGCAATGAATAAGGAAGAAAGGGCAAGAAGAGCGCTCATCTGAACATCAGTTTTCCTAACTGGTGCATGATTTGTGACTGAGATCAACTTTATATCATATGATTGCTAGGGATACGCAGTTACTGTAGAGGCGCTCACATAAATAGAGGTGGGTGATCCTCCCTCTGACTTAAGAACTGCGACAAGTTTATAGCGCAGACCAACTGGCACAGTTTGAAGCACCTCAGGGTGTCACTAGGCTCATCACATTAGAAACCCTTAGCAAACTAATCTTAGAAGCGGGTGGTTATCAGCATCGTGCACAGATTTCTGAACGCGGGTCATCGCGAGAACTATACCCAATCCGTCATAGACGAAACAAGAAAGTGAGATATTCTTGCTAAAAGAAGGATGTACCAAGACGTTTCAGTCATTGGCTGCCATCCAAATGTACCCTGACAAAGACAAACACAGTGAAGCTGACAAAAAAATTCCGCCTAGGATAAGATCAAGAGGAAGTGTACCAAGACCGGCTTGCCATTCTATAGGGGATGGCTACGTTCAAGGTCGGACCTCAGGTAAAATTTTGACGAACAATCCCTTACTAGCCGAGTGGACTTTGGATGGGCTCTTTGGAAAACACAAAAAACAGCCACCTTTTCTCAGAAAGCAGAGAATTATCTCCTAGACTTGCGCTGGACAAGGGAGGAAACTAGTAAGGCAACCGCCTCTAATGTGACTTCCCAAATATCGAGTTTAAGAGACAACACCAGCCAGAAATGTTGTCTAAGACTAACCGGTTGATACAGAAGCAAATCGCTCGATACTTCAGCCGGTTATCTGCCGTAACAAAAATTGGTTTA